GTCTTGAACTCCTGACCTCAGGTGATCCGCCCATCTCAGCCTCCCAAAGTGCTGGGATTACAGGCATGAGCCACCGCGCCCGGCCTCCTTTTACTTTCTGCTGTGCCATTATGGATGCCTACAGCCTTCCTTCCTCCCTTGTGGTTGGAAAGGGGGCCCTGAGGTCGTCTTACTCCCCTCTTTGTCTCCTGTGAAGTAAGTCATGCCCCACCATTCGCAGATGCATTCAGAGCACCGGAAACTGCCCACAGCCCAACCCATTCCTCCTGTCCTCATCTGAGGCCAATAGGAGATGCTGAACTAAAGACTTGGTCTGGCCAGGCTGTGAATTGGGTACCTGGGAAGATGTTGGATGAGGCCAGAGCAAGCCCTGATGCTCCATGCCTAAGCCACGTGCTCCAATGACTCCAGCGCCCCCAGCCCCGGGCTGGCAGAGCTCATGACACACCCCCCTGCCAGGCCAGTGTCGGTGCAGACATTGAGGCATCCTAATTCACCCCCAATCCAGCCAGTTCCGCAGGCCTGCGAGTGGGGCGAGAAGGCCCCGGCCAGAGGCTGAGGCCAGGGCTGTGGGTCTGCGGTGGGTGGGTGGGGTGGGCGTTGGCTGAACCACCCTCTATCGTCTGCCCCTGTGTGTGCGTCCGCATCCGTCTCTGTGGCATGAAGACCCTCCCGCTGCATGTGGAGCTGCAACAGCAAAGAGGGTGCCAGACCCCGGCCCCTGCCCCGGGATGGGTCCACTCCCTCCCAAGTGCTTCTGGGAGCAAAACTAAGCAACCATTCTCCCACCGTTTTCAGCCTTGGCAAGCTTGGTTGTGAAGCAAAAGGGTTTCAGTCCACGAATCTGGCTCTGAGGCATGGGGAAGTGCTCTCTCCCCAACAGCCCCTGAACCCAAAGAGGATCAAGGCCCAGTCGAATGACTGCCCTGAACGAGCCTGGCCTCGCCAACCCTGAAAACTGGGCCTTGGACCTTGCTCATCTCCAGGCATCGGGTGGGGCACCCAGGGCTCCCCAGCATGTGGGGACCCTCACCTCTGCTTTCTTTCCCCTCCCCAGGGTACTCCAGGACCAATTGGAGTTCCAGGCCCAGCAGGACCAAAGGGCGAGAGGGTGAGTGTTAGTGAACCACAGGGGCCCAGGCGGCCAGGAGGGAGGGGCAGTGAGCCAGGGGCCCAGGCGGCCAGTAGGGAGGGGCAGGTCTGGGACCCAACACCAGGGGTCTCAGCCCTCATGCCTTCCTTCTTACATCTCTTCTTCTGTCATCCTCACAGCAGCCTGGGACAGGGGGGCTGGTTGTGTAGTTATGAGTCAATTAGACTTGGAGGGATAAAGGAGGTGGAGAGGCCGGGCATGTTGGCTCACACCGGTGATCCCAACACTCTGGGAGGCCAGGGTGGGAGGATCACTTGAGCTCAGGAGTCTGAAAGCAGCCTGGACAACATAGTGAGACCCTGACTCTATAAAATTTTTTTTTAATTAGCCAGGCATGATGGTGCGCACCTCTAGTCCTAGCTACTTAGGAGGCTGAGGCAGGAGGATCAGTTGAGCCCAGGAAGTGGAGGCTGCAGTGAACCATTATTGTATTACTGCACTCCGGCCTAGGAGACAGAGCAAGGTCCTATCTCTATTTTAAAAAAAAGAAAAAGAAAAAGAAAAAAGAGGAAAAGAAAAAAAAGGAATTGGAGAACTTCCTCCACTTTGGCTTCTAGCCACCTTGTGTCCATCTCAGGTTCAGTCTGGCAAGGCCCTGGGTGCCATTGTCACTGGACATGCCTCAACTTTGTAATGATTTAGAGAAACAGCATGGAACAGAGGGCCAGGTGGTGTTTAGATCATTCCTGGAGGACAGCAAGAAGTCAGGAGGCCAGAGCCATAGGCCAGGCTCCCATGGTCGCTGTCGAGGGACATTGGCCATGTCATAGGACTTGCAGTTCCAGGCCTGTCCTGCTGAAATGGGCATGCCCGAGGATGAGGGTGGAAGGCGTCGGCTGAGTGGAGGCAGGGGAGTTGTATGTCTTTCTATATCAGCTCTTCCCAGCCAGCCCCTGGGTTCTACACACTCAGGGCTCAGAGGTCCATGCGTGGACATCCGTCGAGTTCTCTGCCTGCATGGGCAGTTCCCTGCACTCCCCATCTGCCCATCTTGCTGGCTGTGTCTCAGGTGGGGAGGGCAGGAGCTTCTGCAGAGGGCGCAAGCTTCTCCGTGACCACTAGCTTGGGGAAATCAGGAGGCTGCTCTGAGGGGTGACCCTTGAGGCTCCGGAGAAGAAGCAAAGCTCTCTTTCTCTTCCCTTTCTCTTCCCCTGCCTTCCTGCTCGGCTTTCTTCTCCCCTGCTTCTGCCTCAGGCCAGCCAGGCCCAGGACCCCACTGGTCATTCTGGGGGGCCTTAGGGGATAGGCTGTGCTGCAGGGAGAGTGAGGGGGGCTTCTGAGCCCCCTCCCCAAGGCAGTGTTCGCATCAGCAGCGCCCCACCTTTCCCACAGCCCTTGCTTCCTGGAGGGCTCTTGAGGGGACTGGAGAGGTTTCTTGTGTTTCATACCAAAGTAGAAAATGGCAAGAAAGATTGTTACCACGTCTGGGAGGATTCATGCGTTTCTTTCTCCCGTTTCAGGGCAGCAAAGGAGACCCTGGGATGACAGGACCAACGGGAGCAGCTGGGCTTCCTGTGAGTCTCTTGGGATCAGAGGTTCCTCTCCTCCCACCCCTGCCCCCATTAGAAACACCCAGGGGCGGTTGGGCGCAGTGGCTCATGCCTGTAATCCTAGCTCTTTGGGGGCTGAGGCAGGCGGATCACAAGGTCAGGAGATAGAGACCATCCTGGCCAACATGGTGAAACCCCGTCTCTACTAAAAATACAAAAATTAGCCAGGTGTGGTGGTGCACGCCTGTAATCCCAGCTACTCGGAAGGCTGAGGCAGGAGAATCGCTTGAACCCAGGAGCTGGAGGTTGCAGTAAGCCAAGATCGCACCACTGCACTCCAGCCTGGGTGAACGACCAAGACTCCACCTCAAAAAAGCAAACACACAGACCAAAAAAAACAAACACCCAGGGCCTGGAGCAGCACAAATCCAGGGCCGAGGGAGAACTCTCATTTCCATGACAGAGGAAGCTGCCAAGAGGCAACTGGTGATGGGCTAGCATGCCCTGCTGGGCACTGTGCTGTGAGAGGACCAGGGCTCTGCCACGTGGACCCTGTAATGGAATGTGAGCCCCTCCCACTGTGTTAAGTGCAGCCTGGCCTCAGTAATGAGTGTGCCACGGCCCCTGCCCTCAGGAAGGGCAGAATCAAATCCAGACCCCTGTGATAGGAGAGGCTTCATGAGCGGAGCAGCTTCCCAGGGGAGCTGGGCCTTGCAGGGGACACCTGGCTTTCCATCGCAGCATGCTTTCCTACCACTGTGTTACAGAAGTTGGGTGTCTGCCTGCAAGAGCCCATACCTTAGTTTCCCATCCACTGGAGGCTGTGTGTGTTGGCCAGGTACGCACATCTGGGCCAGGCTTGCCTCATGCTAAATTCCCCTAGCTATAGAATGAAGAGCATTTTGCACCTTGAAAAGAGGGTCTAGCAAGAGCCTGGCAGGAATGCCTTGGGAACTCCCCTCTGCCAAGAGCGTTCCTGGCCCCCCGCAAGTGCATCCTCAGAACTGACCCCTCACCTGAGGTAGTGACCTCGGGAGAACCCAGTCACAGTCCAGGACCTGGGCTGGAGAGGCAAGAAAACCAGAACTGTGTTCTCTCTTTTTTTTTTGAGATAGAGTCTCACTCTGTCGCCAGGCTGGAGTGCAGTGGCATGATCTCAGTTCACTGCAAACTCTGCCTCCCAGGTTCAAGCGATTCTCTTGCCTCAGCCTCCAGAGTAGCTCAGACTACAGGTGCCCACCACCACGCCCAGCTAATTTTTTTTGTATTTTTCGTAGAGACAGGCTTTCACCTTGTTGGTCAGAATGGTTTCAATCTCTTGACCTTGTGATCCTCCTGCCTCAGCCTCCCAAAGTGCTGGGATTATAGGCGTGAGCCACCGCACCTGGCCTGAAGTGTGTTCTTGGCTTTGCCCAGAACTCATCATTTGCCTCTAGGTCAAGTTTTCTGAGCAATTTGCTTCTCTGTCCCCTTTCTGTATAATGGGAATAATTAAACCTGTCTCCGGTGAGTGAGGCATCGGGAGTTTGATGAACCTGGAAGAAAGCACTGTACAGCCGGCCTGTGTGTCCTCATTAACATGCCTTTGTTCCTCCGATCTCTTGCAGGGTTTACATGGACCACCCGGGGACAAGGGAAACCGGGTGAGTCTGAGCCCCTGCACTCGCACTCTGGTTACTAATGTCTTCATGCTGGGGTGGAATGATCAATCGGTGATTCCTGACCAACATAGCAAACAGTTTTTCCTGATAAGTCATGCTAAATTGAAAGGCTTTACAAGCAGGGCCTTAACCCGTGGCATGTATGGAGCCCAGGGCCTGATCCTCACATGGAAGCACGTATTTTTCCACACAGCAAGGAGAGACTGAATCCCACGGCAGCCACAGCTTAGCATTGCTATCCAGCAACAAGAGCCATGTGTCCAGCTCTTTCTAGGTTGCCCTGATCGTGGGCCCCTATATGATCACTTTAGATCCATTGCTACCTTGTCCTCGCCTTCTGAAACTTGGTTTTGCCAGGCATTCCGGGCCACTGGTGAGAGAGAAAATAAATTCCAGCTCCAAGAACAAGCAGACAGCTGTTGGAAGCAGCCAACCCTTTTTAAAAATATTACAGCCACTATTTCTCTTGGAAAGAGTCGGCAGGGCTCTGAAAGGACATGTGCCTTCTCAGACTCTTGCTGTCCCTTTGGTTTCTGCCATCGTCGCCAGGACACACTTACCAAATGCCCATGGCACCCACAGCCACGTAATGGGCTATGGCACCTGCCACGACCTTCAGCATTTGGGCCCAGCAGGGAGAATTTCACTACATTTGACCAAGAGATGGCCTTTGGGTTCCCCTCTGGAGGGTCTCATCTGCTGCCGCATCGTGGGGCTTCCTGGAGTTGGGGGCACACCCCCTACAAGCCAAGTATGTCTTCTAGCGGGTCCTAAAATCCCAGGCGCTTAGAGGAGAAGGAACAGATGGAGAAACAAGGCCCAGACGATGATTATGTGTTCTGGGTTCCCATGGAGAGTTAGAGGCAGAGCACACGGTCTCCAGAACCCAGGTCTTTTGGCTGATCTTTGCACACTGACACCATGTTCATGCACAGAAAGTGCGCAAATGCCTATGCTCATCTGACGAGTGAATTCCATTCTCTTCAATTCAAGATCTATTTACTGAGCACTCCCATTTTCCTAAGTGCTCTCCACTGGCAGCTGGTCAAAAGCAACTCAGTTTGTCCCTCATCTTCTATAAACAAGAGGGAGCAGCAACGCCACCCCTGCCCATGGCAAGACCAGGTCTGGAAACCGCCAGAATAAACAGACCTGCTTCCAGATGCTCTAAGGCACACTGTGAAGGACTTTCCTTAGTGTGACATCAAAGGATTTAGGCTTCTAAAATCTTTGATCATTCCACCTCTTCACTGGCGTCCTAACTTCCTTTCAAATGTCTTTCTGACGTGTTCTAGTTTTCTTTATTAAATTCAATTCGTATTTTCTAAACCTCCTTCTTCAGACTTTTTCAGTTGGCTGGAGACACTGAGCCATCTGAAGGCTGCAAAATTGGCCCTTCGAGGGACGGTGACCATGTTGCTCTACAGGTGGAGGCAGGACAAGTACCCTTGTCACACACAGAGGGAGGGAGGGGGCTGGCGGCTCTGATGCTGCAGCAGCTGAGGTTATCGAGTCATCCGTGGAGGCCCCAGGAATCAGTGGGAAAGTATGTCTATTCCCCCTCCCCTTCCTGATGTGTGACACACTTTCCTCCAGCCCCTTTACAAATTAGGAATGTGTCACTTAGTAAAAGTCAAGTTCAGAAAACAGTGAGGTGGCATGCACCTTTCTTTCGAGCACACCATGAAGAGCCAATTGACTTATTCCCAAAGAGCAGGCTTCCAACTCCAGGGCAGCTTGTTCTCTTCATTCTAGGGATTTGGCTCTCAGGATGCCCGAATGTCCTGAAAGAGTCCCCTCTCAGTCTTGCCTCCCCATTCTGACCTTTTTTTCTTTTTCCTTGAGATGGAGTCTTGCTCTTTCACCAGGCTGGAGTGCAGTGGCGCGATCTCGGCTCACTGCAACCTCCGCCCCCCAGGTTCGAGCGATTCCCCTGCCTTAGCCTCCTGAGTAGCTGGGAGTACAGGTGTGCACCACCACACCTGGCTAATTTTTTTTTTTTTGGATTTTAGTAGAGACGGGGTTTCACCATGTTGGCCAGGCTGGTTTCGAACTCCTGACCTCAAGTGATCCGCCTGCCTCGGCCTCCCAAAGTGCTGGAATTACAGACATGAACCACCACGCGTGGCCCTGAGATTTGTTTTATCTTACAGTGAACCAAGATACAACCTTAAAAGTATGCTTCTCCATGTCCCACCAAAGGATGGCCTCAGAACCTCTTTCCTGTTCATGGAAGGAAAGTCCTTGTCATGATGGGCAAAGGCCCAGAGCCCTAGACCAGGAGCTTTCTAAGGACACACAAGCCAGTGGAAAGAATATCCTGACCTTGTCACTAAGGGTGCTTCCCCTTTCCCCTAAGTAGCTCTGTGAATTTGGCCCAGGAGCCACCTTTAGGCTAAGAAATCAGTCAAAGGATAAAGGGTGGCATGAATCTGGCAATAAAATCATTCAGGAAAATTGGGTGTTACTGTGGAGCTGCCTGCAAACCAGCCAGCTGAAAAGGTCTGTGTGCATGCAGTGAGGCTGCTTCTGCAATCTGAGATGCCCAACTTTGGAGGGTGGGGGGGGTGCATGCATGTTTGTGTGTGTGTGTGCGTGTGTGTGTGTGCATGTGTGTGTGTGTGCATGTGTGTGCGTGTGCATGTGTGTGCGTACGTCTCACTTCCTAAGTCCGTCTTGTCTCCTCACCTCTTCCTCCTCCACTATCTCTTTTGGCCTCTTCCTTTACTCCTTCACCCCCCAGATATGTTCATTCCATTATAATAATCCCACGTCCTTCATCCTTTCCCCTCCCCCTCACCAGCTTTCAGTTTATCTCCTCCAAAGTCCACTGTTAGACATTTACTTATGTTTTTAAGAAGCCTTTGCCCCTTGACTTTATTTGCCCCTTTATTCCTTACCAGCTAGGGTTCCCTCTTTGCAATGGGTCTCTTTTGTGTCACTGTCTGGGGGTGGCAGGCAGGGAGAATGCAGGTGACGTTACTACTCTAATAGCCTCAAAGGACACCGGATTTGGGGCAATTGTGCAGATTCTTAGAACACAATGTCCCATAGTGTCCGTTACCTGTTGTGAAAGTCTGGAACGCGCCAACCCTCTGTTACACCCGGGGTATCCTGGACCTGGGATCCCCCACTCTGGCAGATTTGCCGACTTTCTTCATTAGGAAATTGCTCATGACCCAGAGAATGAGGGGCCACCCTCCTGAGAGAGTTTGCCAGGGGGCTTCCACACCCAGAGAGCTAGTGGTTTTGCTGGTCTACCATTTGGGGATGATTTGTGCCATGATGTTCTTGCTGGCAGACAAAACTTCAGGCCGATGGGAATATACCCAATATGTGCATACATATTTAAACACATGTCATTTTCTAAGTAACGATTTGCATTTTCAGAACATTCATTTAGAATAATGCACTGGCAATTGCAGACAACCTCCGAAATAGAGAAATTTGAATAATTTCTGAAGATCTGGAGAAACATCAAAAATATTATTTTGTTTGCTTGTTTGCTTGAGACAGAGTCTCGCTCTGTCACCCAGGCTGGAGTGCAGTGGCACAATCTCGACTCACTGCAACCTCTGCCTCCCGGGTTCAAGCAATTCTCCTGCCTCAGCCTCCCAAGTGGCTGGGATTACAGGCTTGTGCCACCACACCTAGCTAATTTTTGTATTTTCAGTAGAGATAGGGTTTCGCCGCGTTGGCCAGGCTAGTCTCGAACTCCTGACCTCTGGTGATCTGCCTGCCTCGGCCTCTCAAAGTGCTGGGATTACAGACATGAGCCACCTCGCCCAGCCAAAAATATTCTTATCCTCTGCCTTCCTCTAATGAACATCTACCCTGCAGCCTTCCACTGCAGGAACACTGCACATGACAACCTCTGACCCCAACCTTTGGCTCCTACACTGGCTAAAAAGAAATCATAACCATTATTATCATTATGAAGCAGCTGTCATTTACTTTGCACATACTATATGCCATTATAAAGCATTTAATGTGCACAAAGACCTCACAACATTTTTTTTCAGACAGAGTCTTGCTCTGTTGCCCAGGCTGGAGTGTAGTGGTGCAATCATGGTTTACTGCTGCCTCGAACTCCTGTCCTTGGCTCAAGTGATCTTCCTGCCTCATACTCCTGAGTAACTAGGCCTACAGGGACATGCCACCACAACTGACTAATTTTTTTATTCTTTGCAAAAATGAGGTCTTGCTTTGTTGTCCAGGCTGGCCTCAAACTCCTGGCATCAAGTGATCCTCCTGCCTTGGCTTCCCAAAGTGCTGGGATTACAGACATGAGCCACAATGCCCAGCCTCACAACAAATTTTTGAGGCAGGTATTACTGTATCCATTTTACAGGTAAAGAAACTAAGGCTCAAAGAAGTAGATTCACAAAGTCACACAGCTAACTGTCAGAACCAACTCTGACTTCAAGCCTTTGTTCTAATATGCTGCCCAGTCTTCAATGTCACCCTGGAGCGACATTGTTGAAGTCCCCAAGCATTAGATAATCCCCCTTCCATAGAGGAGGGGAGGTCCCAGGAAGACTCCCTAGGGGCATACTGGGCCCCCTTTTTAGGAAACACACATATAAAAATGCAAATGTAAATTCATTACAGAGGTGATGCTTCCCTTTTAAAAAGAATTCCCCACAGCCCTTCTTTAAATAGACTCTGACACATACAATACAGGATTCAATTTAGAAAAATGATGTTTACTGTAGCTTTTCAGAAACAAATGAATTCCTTAAACCAACATATTCATATACAAATAACCGTCTGACTTCAGACCAGGATGAAGCAGAGACACACATAGAACAGGAGAACCCAGCTGAGACCCAGGGGCCATCCGTGAGCTCTGGACACACACATACATATGTGCACATGGACACACATGCGTACAGGCACACACATGTGTTCATGTGCCCAAGCACATACCCAGACACACTCAAACGTGCGCACACACACATATACACAAGCACATACCCGTATACTCATACATACGTATACACACACGTCCACAAGCACATACCCACACACACTCAAACGTGCACACAAACATATACACAAGCACATACCCGTATACTCATACATACATATACACACATGTGCACAAGCACATACCCAGACACACTCAAACATGCACGCGCACACACATATACACAAGCACATACCTGTATACTCATACATACATATACACACACGTGCACAAGCACATACCCACAAATACTCAAATGTGCGTACATACACATATACACAAGCACATACCTGTCTACTCATACATACATACATATACACACACGTGCACAAGCAAATACCCAGACACACTCAAACGTGCACACAAACACATATATACAAGCACATACATATATACTCATACATACATATACACACGTGCACAAGCACATACCCACACACTCAAACGTGTGTGCACACACACATATACACAAGCACATACCCATATACTCATACATACATATACACACACATGTGCACAAGCACATACCCACACACACTCAAACGTGCACACACATATACACAAGCACATACCCATATACTCATACATACATATACACACATGTGCACAAGCACATACCCACACACACTCAAACGTGCACACACATATACACAAGCACATACCCATATACTCATACATACATATACACACATGTGCACAAGCACATACCCACACACACTCAAACGTGCACACACACACATACACACAAGCACATACCCATATACTCATACATACATATACACACACATGCCCAAGTACATATGTGCATACACTCATACACGCTATGTTGACACACATCCCATGGCTCCAAGCAAAATCACCTTGCCTCCTAATGGAATGTCAAAGGGATAAACAATAATTGGGGGGGAAAAAGTTGTCACCCCAAAGCCTTTCAAAAATAGACCCTCAGAGAGAAGGAAGTTGGTCCCTAGCCACTGTGTTCAGCACAGACCCACCCTGGGCTTAGTATTAGCAAAACTGGCCACACAAATCTTCCATCTGTGGTTCCCTCCACCTGCAGCTCTGAGCCCTCTGCCTGTCCTCCCTTCCCCTCCCACCCACCTTAGCCAAATTCTCAGGTTCCTGCGGGGTGGGGAGGAGGTGAGTGTTCACTCCAAATCCTATGGGGGAGAATATCCTAATTTAAAGTCTCTTTTTTCCTTTTTAACTTTATTTATCTTTTTCTGTCTCTAACCTTAACACATGAATGATCCTAAAGTTTTGATGTTTTTTTTTTCCCGGACTAAACCATTATTTACAGGGGGAGAGGGGGAAGAAAGGCTCTAGAGGGCCTAAAGGGGATAAGGGAGACCAAGGAGCGCCTGGATTAGATGCCCCCTGCCCGTTGGTATGTTTTTGTTTATCACTTGCATTGTTCTGGTTTTTGTCCTTGAGGTTTGCAAGTTGGAAACAAAGAAGGCAAATAAACTAAGATGAGAACCAAATGTCTACACTGATGCTACCAAAATCTGTTCATTTGACCAGTGAAATTCTGCCCACTGTTGGAATTGCTTTATAACCACAGCTGCAAGTAATTCTGGCTAAATCCCTTGCCTTTGAATCCTTTTCCTTTGAAGATGCAGAGCAATTGATGTGTGGAAGTGAAGAAACCACTAGGAAAGGGATTTTCAGGGAAGGCCTCAGCTCTTAGCTCCAGGATGGCTTTGGAAGCCAGTGTAGCATTTGTGAGCCACGGATTTGCCTTCTTCGTTTCATGGCCATCTCTGTGGGCCAGCAGTTCAAGCTGTCTGAATCCTCACTTGGTCAGGATGCAGGACACCAGAGTTAGCGTCTCCTCAGGGCCACTGATGTCAAAACTGGGCAGAACAAAGCCAGATGAGGGGCTTCTAATGCACAAGCTACCAACACTCACCAGCCATCCAGCTAAAACCTTTAAAGCTGCAGACCAGAGTCGGTAGTCAGACACCCCATGGGAAGCCTTCTCAAAACAGCCAACAATTAATGATGAGGCACATCTGCTGGGTTTCTCAAGTGCCTTTCAATCCATTTGAAGGTTCTAAAAAATTATGATGCACTAAAGTTGAAGTTTGTCTGTGTTTACACTAAGTGAGTCCATAAAGAGAGTGGAATCAATGGAGAGGGGGCAGGTTGTACGTGTGCAAAGCTGAACTCTCCAGAGCACAAAGAGAGCACAAAAGCTGGATTTGGGAGGTGGGGGATCTCCTGGGATTTAGCCGCTGTTTGTAGATGCCTCAAGGGTCCTGCATCCTGGCCAGGGTAGGACTGGGCCTCTCCACTCCATGGTTGGAGCGGGCCAGCCTAGACCTGAATAATCATCGTGGTTGGTTTTGTGAACAGGGACACCGAGGTTTTAAAGGAGAGAAAGGGGAGCCGGGGTTACCAGGGCTGGACGGACTGGATGCCCCATGCCCATTGGTATGGCATTGCCCTTGCTTGCCTGCATGGCCGATTTGGGCTTCCCCACGTGTGTGATTCATACTGCGTGCCTCCCCAGCCACCCTCCACACTCCTCCTCCATCCCCTCCAGTATCCACTTCTCGCTTCTTCACTCTGTAAATGCCCAGGGTCACCCCGCCTTGGCTAGTACTCCGGGGTCTCCCAGCCATGCCACCCTTTTGCATGCAAAGTTTACCAGGATGTTTCCTGGCTTCCTGCTGCAGCTACTTCTAAAGCACATCCACCTGATGCGAGCCAGACCTCCCACCCTGAAGTTGGCTTTGCTGCCTCTGATACTCATCTCCAAGCTGATTCTAGAAACTGCCACCAGAGACCAGCTAGGAAAGTGGATTCTCTGGGACTGGTTCTCAGAACCATGACTTACTTCTTTTCCTTCAGGCAGTGCAGTTAGTTCAGAACGCACAGGCTGAACACGTAGCAAAACATGTGAATGAGATGCCTGAGTCAGCCCTGTGTCCCCTGCCCCCTCCATCGCATGATTTGGGGGACAGAATGGCATGATTACAGCATAGATTGAGAAGCGCTAGAAGTGAGGTGGAGGAGGGGCCACCTGCCTGTTCTTCCAGGTTGGGTCGTGTGTCACTGCCCAGGTGACATCATCAGAACTAGGGGATGGTCCAGGATTAGGTTTTTGGATCCTAAAGGGTTTGTCCTTCTTGCTTAAATCTCCAAAGACATTACCAGACCCTTCCTTGTCCCTTTCTTTCATGGTCGGATGGCTTACTGAAGAGTCTGGGAGAGATGGAAAGGTCGAGAGTGCAGTTAAGGAGGAGGCAGGGAGACAGCTAAGGGCTCGTCTTCCAAGCACGTCCCAGGCGAAGTGGTAACAGTTTATTCCTGCCTGCCTGGTCCCTCTCTAGGCATGGACAGTCTAGGCCTCCATCCTCTCACTGCAAAAGAAGCTGAAGGGAACACTTCACTCCAAGGCTCAAGGGGTTACTGCTCTCCCCAAATTTCCCCAATAGGTTTGGAGTTCAAGAGCTATTCTATCATACCAGTAATAAGAGAATTTGGGGCCTCACATCCCCGCCCTGGGGTCACGCAGGAATTCTCTTTGAACAAAAGAGGAAAAGATATAAGAAATTATGCTGTGTGACCCTGCCAGGGGGCCGTAGAGCCCCTTGAAGGGCAGTAGGGACTTTTTAGGAGGAGCATAGGCAACAGAAGGAGAGTGCAGAGTAAGCAGGCGGTAGCATGCTTCCTGTCCCTGCTGGTCCTGCCAAACCCCGCTCTTGCAGCCTGCACAGCCACCTTTCTCAATTGGGACCTTCCACCATCCACACAACAATGGGAATGCCGCTCTGGCCCACAGAGGCTCCCTTGAGCACCGGCCAGGTCTTCCCTCGGCCACAATCCCCCCCCCCGCCCCCCGCAATCTGGGCACCTTTAGTTCTGCCAGCAGCTGCCTTGGCCTCTCTGTTTCTCACCATACATTACTTTTCATTCTCTGCCTGCCCTGCCCTCCATACCCCGCTGCCACCATCCACACACCAATGGGAATGCCGCTCTGGCCCGCAGAGGCTCCTCTCCCTCCCAGCATCCACATGATGTGTGTCATACCGCACTGTGGCAGGCTGGGGAAGGGCACAGGGTCACCCTGAAACTGTGGAATGCACCACCTCCCCTTGCAATCCCCTCCCCAACCCAGAGGGGAAAAATGAAGGTCACCCTGATTATACATCCCATATCAATGTGTCATTTTTCTATTAAGTTTACTGGGGAAGTGTCTTCCCCTTGTTGTTTCTCACTCTGCCTCCTCCTCTGTGTTATGATGGACTTGGGGGGCAGCGGTAGCTACTACTCATGACTTTTACTACAAGATAACCAGACTTCCTAGGCCCTCCATATTGGGACCAATCCCTGCCCAATGCCAGGTGATGAGAGGTTTCAGCCCCTGGCGTGGGTGGATGTCATTAGACCGGGACAGCAGAGGACTCTCATTCCACAAGCAGCCTCAGGACTGAGCACTTGCTCTGGTCTCCTGAAGCCCCGTGTCCATCTCCTTGTCTGCCCTGCCTGTCTAGCAGACTTGGGCTGAAAACTAGATCTTTGCCCTTGGCCCAGCCTCGCCTTCCCCACCTGGTCTCTAGATTTCTAGATTCCCCACAGGGTATGCCAGCAAGGAGAGGAGATGAGGGCCCAAGAAAACTCAGGAAGGTTTGTATCACCAAGGGCAGAACACGAACATCTTGAGGCTAAAGGGGCTGCATGGTTGCTACCAACAAAGGAGACTGACAGTGTGCAGTTGATTCCCATGTTGCTACTGCACTTCACCCCCAAATTCCCAGCAAGGTCTAAGGCTTCGCCAGGAACACTTGTCTTCTTGCCAAAGGCATCTCAGAGCCGTGCTGCAATACTCATGAGGTTGCCTGTCCCTTCATGCCCCTCACCCCACCCCAGGATTGATCATCAAAGAAGGACTGTCCACATGTCCTCCTCCCTATGCTTAGGAAGAGAGAAAAATAAGAGAATGAGAAGCCTGGGAAGGCCCTTAGAGGTCACTTCAAGCAACTGCCCTTGCCAAGGTTTTATGGAGGAGGAAACTGAGGCTCCCTTGTGCTGAGTGGCTTGCCTGTGAGCAGCCAGCACTCCACAGGGCCACAGCAGAGACTGTTCCTTCATGACACACAAGGACATCTCTGCTTGCTCGTCCCACAGGAGAGGACAGCCCCTATTGGCCTTGCACTGTAGCTGCATGTGACCTTAGCCAATAGGAAAACAGACGGATTTGTTTCCACCTCCTTCTGGGGTTCTGACCTGGAGTAGAGCAAAGAAATAGACAAGAGTGGGTGGACCACATCCTGATCAGCTGCCAAAATGTGTGTGGCCCTCGTTACCCCGGTCCGGCCCGCTTGGTGGACCACTGCAGGGAGTCTGAGCCCTCTGCCTTCCTTTCTCCTTGCAGGGCGAAGATGGCTTGCCAGTCCAAGGCTGCTGGAACAAGGTAAGGCTTCCCATAGGTTTGCATTGGGGCTCCATTCTCAATAGTGCCATAAAGCTTCCACAATTTCCATTCTGCCTTGCTACAGATGAGGCAGCAAGACACAGGTCAAAAAGTCACTGTCTCAAAGGCAGGGTGCCCATTAAACATCCCATACACTGCATGCTGTTAAAGAACATTTAAAAATGCTTCATAGAACATCAGCAAACCCTACGCAGGATGTCCATGCAGCCACACAGGTGACCTCTTTATGCTTTGTGTGTTCAATGTACATAGTGTCTTTCCCCCAAGGAAATTCCCCAAGGAATTCCAGACCATCACTCACAGAGTTCCTCTGAGGTCGTTTATGCCACATGATGACATGTCTTAGATGTAGGACATCTCAGTTGCTTACACTCTGAATTCACATGCCACTGTGAGCTTCCCATTGGCTACAGTCACATGCAGCTACACTGTAAGTTCATAGGGACTGTGCTACTCACCACTTTACCACTCCCCTTGCATTTAAGCTGGCAGAGTTTCATGCCACAACACTGTGACCTGCAGCCCAATCTCTCCTGGGCTCCCCGAGTTCCTACCGACAATGAGTTTTCATTGATTCACACTGGCCTTAGCATTTGCCATCATTAGAGCAGTCTGACATCACAGGACTGTGCCCTTGCCTGTGATCACCCCATTCAACTATGGCTCCCCAGAGCACAGGGCTTCCCAGGCTGACAGGGGCCATCTGCTTGCTAACTAATCCAGAAGCCCCACCTTGGTCCCCAGCAACGGTGGCAGTCGCTATGCTGCCCCATACCGTCTCCCTCCACCCTGCCTCTCACTCCAAGTCTTCTCACCAACCCCCACCACCATTGTCTCAAGGTTCATCCTCATAAAGGGTTGGAGACTCCAACCTGTTCAAGAATCTGTGCTCAACGAATCCAGTGCTATTCCAGTGACAGCAGAGTCACACTTACAATGAGATGAACAAACTCCCCTGTACTAAGATGCCAGAATCTCATTAGTGCACTGGGTTGGGTAAAAGTGCTGAAATCAACAAGACCCCAGGCCAACGCTGACCACCTACTTGCCCGGATACCTGAAGCGCCCCCTAACCCAAGAAGGAAGAGCTCAACATGCAAGAGAGATGCCTCCCCAGAATCCGTCCCTGGAGCCTGGCCTCGTCCTCCTGCCAAGCTCCACCTAGACCTAGTTAAAGCACCACAAAAGCAGGTCAGAGGTGTCATAAGACCTCTGGACCCTTGCCCCCTAAAAAAAATTTCCTTTTTAGGGTTGCTGCCAATCGTTAGGAGATAGAAATGGTTGAGATTAGCAAGGGAAGAACAGCCACTACCAAGAGCTGCAATGTCTTGGAGAAGCAACCAGAGAGCTTCAAGACTACTTATTTACACTTTAAGTCCAATCTGGGACAAGGCAGGGGTTACAACAATCAGGCCTCCAAAGGCAGCAGAGAAAGAGAGTGCCCTCTAGTGACCACAAAGGGGATTCACAGAGAGGTGAACTTGGTTTCCTCCCTTCAGGGAGCTAAGGTAGCCACCAGTTTCTTCCACCTAGGGGCTCAGGGTTCCCACAGTTCCCCTGTCCAGAAGTCCCACCCAACCTAGGACAAGATTTCCCTCCCTTCCCACAAAGGAAATAAACCTCTGCAGACCCACTGAAACTAACAGAACATCGTTTTGTTTTTGTTTTGCAGTGATGCCTCTAACCTTGGATTGGCCTGTGTGTGTGTTTGTACATAGAATATTTATTTTTATACAGTTTTCACTTTTTGAAAATGCCAGAAGGATGATGCATCTTACAGATTATTAAAAAAGAAAGAAAAACCTGCATATTTTGTACAGAAAATATCAACCTCTTCCCTTTTCCCTTTTGTTTACAAGATGTTTTGTATAAACCTGTGTCTCTAATACACTTTTTGTTTGTGAGTATGGTCGTAATGTCTGCATGATATTTGTGCACACTTATTAAGTATTGAAGCTTAATAAATTATTGTGTCCTGGTGCCAAAGGGGGCCAGCCAGAACTGAGGTGCTGGCTAGCTCATGTGTGAATTCACATAAATGTAGAGGTCCATGATATTTGCTAAGCTAGGTGTGTCGAAGAGTATTTTAAACCCTTATGCATTTTCATTATTTAAAAAAAATGAAACATGGCAATTCATGATCCTGATTAATCATTATATTAAATACATTCTCTCCTGTGAAAGCAGAAATTCCCAGAAGTAGGGGTTCTCAGAAGTATGGAGTAAGGTTTTGAAATGTGAAGTTCAACAAAGGGAGGGAGGGGGACTTTATTGAGCAATGTATGTTGTTACAGATCCCAAGTTTATCACAGTGCTTGCTGTGTGAGCATTTAGGTTCAGTTGTGCTAAGGGCCCCCAGAGTTTCAAAGGAGCCATTTGCTGTTGCTGTTGGGTTATGGTAGGTTTTTGCTTGTTTGTTTTGCTTTGTTTTGCTTTGTTTTGTTTTGAGCGACAGTCCCTAGTACCAGCTATTGCTAATCATGGCTGTTGACTTGATATGAGTTTGTGGGTTCACTCACAACTAGCATTTGAAGGAGCTTTGCCTCATCTGATGTTGCACTCCAGCAAAGGGCATTCAGAAAACATGCCTAGATCGGGGCTTGGGCTGGGCCAATCTGAAGTTGTTTTTATTTTTTTAAGAAATAATGTTGTATTGCTTTCCATATTTAGTGCATTGCTTAGAAAAGGTCTCAGGAAACTAGTTTTAGTGACTAGTTAAGTCTTACCTACGGTGTAGCATACAGGTTTGTTGTTAACTGTTTGACAACATAAATTCATGCTTCTAAAAGCCTGAAAACAACAAATTCCTCCAGTAGTTTACATACATCCCCATCTGGTTTACATTTTGCATTTTCTTTATACATCCTTTCTTCCTAGACAACGCAAGGGGAAATTTAACCTCAGACTCTGTCCACATGCTGTCACACAAAACTCTAACTTAGTGGGCTTCACAGTCATTAGACAGCCCCTGCCATGTGTGGGGATGAGGTCACACTCACAAGCATTCATGGTAATGAAATCACATGCAGCTCAGACCCAAAACGCCTATACTGACACTCTTACTCTAAACGTCACTAGGTTAGCTTAAAACTTGGACAACTTCCTCCTCTAAGTCTTGGCCAAGTTCCTCATTTGAAAAGTGAAGCGAGTCTGGGCAACATAGTGAGACCCTCATCTCTACAAAAACATTTTTCAAAATTTAGCTGAGTGTGGTGGCACTTGCCTGTAGTCTCAGCTACTCCGGAGGCTGAGGTGGGAAGTTTGCTTGAGCCCAGGAGTCTGAGGCTGCAGTGAGCTATGATCGCACCACTGCACTCCAGCCTGGGCAACAGAGTGAGACCCTGCCTTAAAAGAAAAAAAAAAGAAGAAGAAGAAGAAGAAGGAAAGAAAAAAGAAAAGTGAAGCCATGCAGTAGTGAACAAGAGTTGATCTCTGTGGACACAAGGAGGGCTCATGTGAACCCAGGGATGCTTCTTGCCCTGGGCCAGATTCTCATGGCCCTGTAGCCCAGGGACAACTTCTCCAGCAGCCACGGAGTACTTTTAGAGGCCACAAAAATATTTTAATTCTTAACCTTTTTAAATGTAGAAAAAAAAAAGTGAATATATAACAATGAATCCAGCCAGGATTGTTTTTTGTCTTTCTACCAACATAATTGTAAAATAGAATTTTTTATATTTTTTTAATGGAGGAAGACAAAACTGCCCAGGGCTCCCAAAAGTCATAATGCAGCCCAGCCCACATCCTCTGCCCCTTAGAATTCACAGTCACCCTCACTGCAGGTGTCCCCATCTCCAGGCCACACTCCTCCCCTCCCAGGCGAGGTCCCGAGCAATCAGGGTATGACCCCATTCTTCTAATCCCCTCCCTGATTCCCTTTCAGGCTCTGGCCAGGGAAATCACAGCTCACTGATGATCTCAGAATAGAGCAGAACATTCACTGGAACCTGGAAAGGGGAGATTCGGTGTTAGCTGAATATCCTGGGTAAATGGGCAAAGAAACCTCTTTTGTTACAGTCCTGAGGTTATTCATTTACTTATGACACTTCAGCTACTGCCACAAAGGATTAAAAATCACAAGAATCTATGTAATAAAATAGAAATGTGTGTAAAGAGAAGTTTAAAAGTCAGAGTCAAGGAAAACAAGTAGAGAGGAGACAGCCGTGGCTGGGAAGCCCAGGGGATGGAGAAGGTCCTGGCCATAACTGAGGCAGGGTCACACACATCACTTCAGGCTACCTAGTGGTCACAGGAAAAAAAAAAAAAAAGGCTCGGCCTGGTTTCAGAGCCTACACTGCGCTGCCCAGTGGGTTGCAGCCTGCTGAGGTTTAGCCCTGCGTGTGTAAACACATTGTCCCCCCACACGGTTGTTGCCGCCATAGTACTCAGCCAGGACCCCACCCTATCACTGGTCTGCACCCCGGGCTCCTGACTTCAGGCCTCTGCCCCCAAGCCTCTCCACTTGAATCTTGGCTGTGTGTCAAATGCAGTACAGGGAGATGAGAAGTAAAAAGACACGTGGTCAAAGGGTTTGCACATAGCTGGGAGTCCATACTAACGCCCAGCAGACCAGGACAACCAGGCAAGAAGGAACAATCCAGTGATGGAATGGGAGATGCAGGTACGTTGCAGGAGGGACCAGGGAAAGGCCAGCCTTATGGACAGGGGCCACAGAGGGCTCACAGAGGAGAAAGACATGCTCTCTGTTTTGGGGGACGTGCAGCACCTCCTGGTGAAAACTGCCTGCCCAGGGAGCCAGAGGTGCGCCCAGCCCTGCCCACTGAGCATGTTGGTGAAAGTTCTTTGTAAATTGTAAGGCACTGGGTCTTAAGGCCGTTTGTGTCCCGTGGTTCCTCTCTCATTCCAGTGCCTGTGGCTCTGTGCTCTGGCACAGCAGGACACATGCCCAGCATTGTCCACCTGGATACCTGCAAAGAATGAGCCAGTACCCCATGGGTGACAGTGTGACCGGGTCATCTGGGCCCAAATGGTGCCTCTCCCCAAGGCTGAGATTTATGTAGTTGTGGTTATGTGGGCCAAGGGAAGCCACAGTTTGCTGAGGGAAGAGGCGGCTCCTTCCACACATGTCCACCCCGCTGCATCTCAGCCCCACCCAATGCTGGCCTCTCTTCCCCAGCCCTGCCTTCACCTGGCAGAATGGGATAGGATGGAGCTGGGGAGGGTTGCCATTAGCCCACAAGAGGAGGAGGGCACTGGCCAACAAGTTCAGAGACTCAGCTTCTAGTTCTTTCTCTACCATTACCTTGCTGTGTTGCCTTGGGCACCTTACTCCAGGTCTCAGTTTCCCCAAGCGTCAAGTGAAGAAGTTGGACATGGGTGACCTCCATAAAACTTTCCAGCTCCGACACCCTGAGGCCCTCTGGCCCCACAGGCAGGTCACCTCCTGGGAGGATTGTGGAGGCTGGAGTACTCCGTGCCCCCCACCACCTAGGGTTATTTGGCTGTGACAGTATTATGCATGGCATTGGTTTTGCAAAACTGTGTGTGGCATGTGTGTGCTTTGTAACCCCGAATAACAAAACTCGGAGTAGGCCTGTGCCATCCAGGAGTAGGGTGAGTGGGGTCAGCTCGCCTTGGGGCAAGAACAGCTGTAGGGCTTGTTTCTCACATTGGTCTCAACACTGAGGATGTATCAGAGAGAAAGCAAAACAGCACTGGCCACCTGACACACGCGGGAATCCCCAAGGCCCCACAAACGTTCAGGGACACTGCACTGGCATGGGGAGGCCCACCCACCTCCCTCCTTTCAGGCCCTCTGTGTCCCTCCCACGCACCACCCCACACACTCCCCCAGCATGTCTCTCCTCTTGCCCTGGACTTGGACACATTGTCAGCCAGCTTGAGACGTCGAGCACCCAAGACTCCACATCATTTCAAAAAAAAAAGAGCAGGCTCCCTGTGAGTATTCAGAAAAGAGGACACCACACCAAGATGTGGAGCAGAGAAGGCAAGCAAGGGCAGGAGCAGCTGTTCACCTCTCAAAGGAGCAGAACTCCCAAGGGGTCGCTGAAGCAGGGTGCCCCTCACTGCGGTGAAGGAAGCAGGAGGATGGTGCAGGGAGGGGAGCCATGTCTTAGCCACTCAGGCAGAATTCGGTGCAGTTCATATGCAAAGTGACCTCTGTCTGCTAGAAAAGTTCATCTCTGAGAATAGCCAAGCACCTGTGGAAGGAGACTCAGAGAGAGGTAGAGAGCCACGGCCCCCTGCACCCCCTGCACCCTAGCGGGCCCACCAACTTTCCAAGGCCTGCCACTCGCCCTGCGCACACACTCTGCTGTCCCTCCACACGCTTGCCCGAGCCAGGCCCTTACCTGCAGATGCCATTGCTTCTTATCTGCCTCCTTTCACGGCCCAGCTCAGATCCCATGACCCTGGAAAGACAGTTCTGGGCTCCTCAGTTGGTGGGGTCTCTCCTCCCTGCAACTGTCTGGAACTCAGTGTTCTTTTCTTCCTCCACTTTATGTGAGAGTGTGCAAAGGGGCTCTTCCATTTTTGATAGTGAACTCTTAAAGGGCAGGAACTTTCTTACACCCAGGCTCAGGAGGGACCTAGCTCAGTGTTTCCCCTACAATCCAGCCATCGATGGGGGCTCATACATATCTACCACCTGCTGAGTTATCAGCCAGCTTCGTGAAGCAGCTGCTGTGTGCAGACACTGTGCTTCCTGCCAGGCTGGGAAGGAGAGGGAAGAGGCCCCTAGGACTGTAAGACCCAGCTCCTCCAGGAGTTTCGCCAGAGCACACCAAAGAGCACACTCATCCACCCTCCAGGAGCTTCACCAGAACCACCAGGGGCACACCCATCAGGGACGAGTGTGCCAAGTGAGGGGTGCAGCCAGCTAGGGCAGGATTGCTGAGGACAGAAGCTCCTGCGATGGCCAGTGTGGATAGAATGAGCAGAGGACCGAGTCAGCTGGGAGGGGTGTTACAAAGCAGAGACAGAGGAGCTGGTCCTGCATGCAGGCAGTCCCCACCCTGGGCTCAAGCTCCTTTCCTCGATAGAACCTTCCAGTGAGCTCGAGCCTGGGCCATGTTCGCTTCTCAGGTAGGGGAGGACAAGTGGGATGGTGATGGAAGGAAGAGGGTAGAGAGAGCACCTCCCAACTCTGAAGAGGGTC